TCAATGGTCCAGATCACATGCGTTCGGCACATTTTGTCATGCCAATAATGGTACATATATATTTTATATAGTAAACGGGTGCTGGTTGATGATCAAGGGATGATTATTTTATGATAATTTGACCATTATTGGCATGACGGTGTGCCGAACGCCTGTGGTCCAGATGTGATCTTTGACAAGATTAGTATCAACATTTTAATTAGTGTTCATTTATGGGAAATAGCAAACAGATTTTGATAACCTTAACTACTAAGCCAATTTATCCTTAGCTGCATTCAACGATAATTTTGAAGTAAACTACAAAATCAAATATTTATGAACAGGATAAGCATTTGAGCCGCGTCATGACAAAACCAACATAATGGGTTTGATCAGGATCATCGCCATCGGTTTCTTCACTTGTTATAGAGTTTGTAAGCGAACAGCATGGATCCTGACCAGATTGCGCAGAAAGGTACCCAAACTATGATACAAGGTTTATTTTTTGATGTATGCCCCCTTTGAACTTAAATATTTTAACAAAAGTGGTTGTTTCAAAGACAAGTTTTAACACCGCGTGCGGTTCTCTTTGTTAATTCTTGAGCCGCGTCACGACAAAACCAACATAATGGGTTTGTGACCAGCATGGATCAAGACCAGCCTGCGCATCTGCGCAGTCTGATCAGGATCCATGCTGTTCGCTGTCAGTTTCTTTACTTGTTATAGGGTATGTAAGTGAACAGCATGGATCCTGATCAGACTGCGCTGATGGGCAGGCTGGTCTGGATCCATGCTGGTTGCACTTTTTCCTAATTTGACAAAAACAATGTGCTAGAATTTGCCAAAATATTAAAGCCTAGGACCTTTTTCCCAATTTCTGGGAAAAGACCCCTCAGGTTGCAGCCACTAAAACAGTTTGCTGGGATATATATACCGTCTAAAGAAACTAAACCCATTATGTTGGTTTTGTCATGTTGCGGCTCATTTTTTTATTTATTTTATTTTATTTATTTTAATGCAAATTTATGTTGATAAGAATGAATACATGTATGTATACAAAGTTCAATTATTGTATCTAGCGTTTTGCTCTGTATTTATTTTACAACAGTCATGTGTTTGTTCTGTCGGTAGCATATAGCATTGCGTGCTCGTTACCATGCAGTGATAATTGTCTGAAAATGAGCCAAAACTAAATATGGAAATAATTATATAAGTATAATTATATATTCATATCTGGCAACATCTCAATACAAGATTTTATCAAAAATTAGGAATAAATATTTATTTACAGAAAAGTTACAGAACAACTGCATAATATTATTGAAAGGATGGGGAAATGAATAATTGTACCTACGGAAACAATGTTTTTAAATTGAAAAGTGCAAGAGAATGTATTCAAGCTGGCCTACACATGTATTATCCTTACTCCGGGTCTTTCAAATATTTGACAGGTTCTGTATCAAAATGAATAATCTGCCATGAAACAACGCAACGCAAAATGGTATTTAATTAAAGCTGTACATTTTAGTGAGATAAAATTATGTGATTTTTCTGTATGTGTGTCTGTTTGAGTGTATGCACGTGCAACCAATTTTGCAAGACTGGTGTGGTTATTTGAACTATGTGGATCGAAGTACATTATTTAGTACAAGAAATATTTATTATGGAGTATAATAGTTTTTTTACATGCTGCACTTGTGTAAATCTAATTATCAGATTAGTGGATACAGTAAGAATTTCACTACAGACTGTTTGTTAACAAAAGAGCACATGTCAATGTTTGTGTTAAATGGCCAAATATTCTTCAGATGAACTTGTTATTATTTTATTTTTGGAGGATGTCTTTCAGATAGTTTTTATACTGAATATATATACTAGTAAATATACTATTAACATAGCTTTTAAATAATGCTGAATCTGATGTATGAATTATTTCCTAAAATTGTATTGTCAGTACCTTATCATTAAAATTTGAACCGCGTCACGACAAAACCAACGTAATGCGTTTGCGACCAGCATGGATCCAGACCAGCCTGCGCATCCGCGCAGTCTGATCAGGATCCATATGCTGTTCGCTATCAGTTTCTGTACTTGTAATAGGATTTGTAAGTGGACAGCATGGATCCTGATCAGACTGCGCGGATGCACAGGCTGGCTTGGATCCATGCTGGTCTCAAACCCATTATGTTGTTTTTGTCATGACACGGCTTTAGTTTTTAAAAATTCCCCCATACTCATTCAATTTGGTATAAAGGAAGTAAATTATTCTTATATCATGTAAAACTTTTGTTTTGAAATGATGTGAAAAGTGATGCAATTATTTTAGTAGTTTTTGTGTACGCATGTTAACAAATAAGTTTTTGAGAGAAAAAAAGACTTTAGCTATTAATACTTACAAAGTGTTTTTTTTATCTATTTTATAGGAATGATCATATGCTACAAAGGAACAAAGGACATTTTAAAGGGTAACCTTGGCTAGCTCATCATAATTATGGTTAATTGTAGAAACCGAAAGTACAAAATGCCAACCTGTTGACGTTAACGAAGTCGGAATTGTTAATAAAAGTACATAAGTGGGCATATTTAAATTAAAACTGGTTATTTTTCAATTACATTGTATATTTGTACCGAAATAGACTTTGTTTTCCTATCTATGTCAAGTATACATATTATCAAAAATTACGTTCAAATTCAAGATTTTATTATTCACTCAAAACACAATATATGTAAATATGAGGTCCGATTAACTTAGAACAGATTTATAATATCTGTCACATGTTGCAGTTCGGATCGGAATATCCGTCCTGAGGTGACCCGCCCATTGGGAGGTAACGAGGCTTGCCGAGTTACCGCCCATGGGCGGATGACCGAGGATACTCCGATCCGAACCACATAATATGTCAGATATTTTTTATTGCATATTCTACCATATTCCATTATATTTTAAATTCTTAATCTTTATTTTCACTGGAAATTTTATCATGACGACCGTAACTACTTTCTTACAACAGCGTATGAAATTGCAACTTCATTCATATCGGTAAAATGACGTCATCCTAAGCAGCACGCGACTAATCTGCCCCCCCCACCCCATGCCAAATGAAATTTCCGGCATGGGTAAAACTAACTACTATGCAAGAATCAATGGTCCAGATCACATGCGTTCGGCATATTTTGTCATGCCAATAATGGTACATATATATAATATATTTTATATAGTAAACGGGTGCTGGTTGATGATCAAGGGATGATTAATTTATGATAATTTGACCATTATTGGCATGACGGTGTGCCGAACGCCTGTGGTCCAGATTTGATCTTTGACAAGATTAGTATCAAAATTTTAATTAGTGTTCATTTATGGGAAATAGCAAAAAGATTTTGATAACCTTAACTACTAAGCCAATTTATCCTTAGCTGCATTCAACGATAATTTTGAAGTAAACTACAAAATCAAATATTTATGAACAGGATAAGCATTTGAGCCGCGTCATGACAAAACCAACATAATGGGTTTGATCAGGATCATCGCCATCGGTTTCTTCACTTGTTATAGTTTGTAAGCGAACAGCATGGATCCTGACCAGATTGCGCAGAAAGGTACCCAAACTATGATACAAGGTTTATTTTTTTATGTATGCCCCCTTTGAACTTAAATATTTTAACAAAAGTGGTTGTTTCAAAGACAAGTTTTAACACCGCGTGCGGTTCTCTTTGTTAATACTTGAGCCGCGTCACGACAAAACCAACATAATGGGTTTGTGATCAGCATGGATCCAGACCAGCCTGCGCAACCTCGCAGTCTGATCAAGATACATGCTGTTCGCTGTCAGTTTCTCTACTTGTTATAAGGTATGTAAGTGAACAGCATGGATTCTGATCAGACTGCGCTGATGGGCAGGCTGGTCTGGATCCATGCTGGTTGCACTTTTTCCTAATTTGACAAAAACAATGTGCTAGAATTTGCCAAAATATTAAAGCCTAGGACCTTTTTCCCAATTTCTGGGAAAAGACCCCTCAGGTTGCAGCCACTAAAACAGTTTGCTGGGATATATATACCGTCTAAAGAAACTAAACCCATTATGTTGGTTTTGTCATGTTGCGGCTCATTTTTTTATTTATTTTATTTTATTTATTTTAATGCAAATTTATGTTGATAAGAATGAATACATGTATGTACAAAGTTCAATTATTGTATCTAGCGTTTTGCTCTGTATTTATTTTACAACAGTCATCGGGATGTGTTTGTTCTGTCGGTAGCATATAGCATTGCGTGCTCGTTTCCAGTGATGATTGTCTGAAAATGAGCCAAAACTAAATATGGAAATAATTAAGTATAATTATATATTCATATCTGCCAACATCTCAATACAAGATTTTATCAAAAATTAGTAATAAATATTTATTTACAGAAAAGTTACAGAACAACTGCATAATATTATTGAAAGGATGGGGAAATGAATAATTGTACCTACGGAAACAATGTTTTTAAATTGAAAAGTGAGAATGTATTCAAGCTAGCCTACACATGTATTATCCTTACTCCGGGTCTTTCAAATATTTGACAGGTTCTGTATCAAAATGAATAATCTGCCATGAAACAACGCAACGCAAAATGGTATTTAATTAAAGCTGTACATTTTAGTGAGATAAAATTATGTGATTTTTCTGTATGTGTGTCTGTTTGAGTGTATGTGCGTGCAACCAATTTTGCAAGACTGGTGTGGTTATTTGAACTATGTGGATCGAAGTACATTATTTAGTACAAGAAATATTTATTATGGAGTATAATAGTTTTTTTACATGCTGCACTTGTGTAATTCTAATTATCAGATTAGTGGATACAATAAGAATTTCACTACAGACTGTTTGTTAACAAAAGAGCACATGTCAATGTTTGTGTTAAATCTATTGTTATTCAATGAAAGGTCAGAGTAGGGATCTATCAAATTGACCAGCTTCACCAACATTTTATTTTTAGCAGTACGGGACGGACCAAGCAATATCGATTTTCATTGTACATGTTTCACTACAGTTAAAGCAGTATATACAACATGGCGGCGCTTACAAGTACACAAATGAACAGGTGAAATAATGAAACTATAGGATTTTACATATAATTTATATAGAACGGCATTTTTGAATTGTTAATGTTATATCATTGAACAGCGTTTTTGACTGCCTTTGCTGCATTTTCATCTGATCCCATGGTTCTCAGATAGGATCGGCTCGCCCGAGTTTAATGCTTTTAGTACTTTAAGTTATAACTGGGCGGGGCCTACTTCCTTTTGTGTCTGTGAGGGGCGTGTATTACATAAATAACATTGACAACGATATTATTCAAGACGTACAAAGCTGTCTTTGTTTACCAGAAAGCAGATTGTATACAAAATAACCAGTTAATTAATTAAGCTGCGTTTTCACCTGTTGGCAGGTGGGCCATGTTGATTATTATACTGCACTGTACTGTAATCTGTACAGAAGAGTCCATATAAGGATGGTAAAAAATCTAAAAAAAAAATCTCTTGATTTACTATTCAATAATATCTATGAAAATTTAGGGGGTGTGGTAACAGCATTACTTACAGATCGTTTTCATCCGATAAGTATTTGTGTATATGTATTGTTATTCCTCAATTCACGGATTTAAACTACAATTATTGTAATTAAGAATTAAATCCTTAAATAGATCTAGATAATTTCTTTACAAATAAGCATTTTTTGTACATTTCTTTTATATGCCATTTTATTTTAGTCAAATACTCAAATGAAGCAATAAGAATAGAATCTTTTGATCCTTATCCAGGCTAGGAATGATATGTATATCTCTGTGACAAGGTTTTTTCTTAAATTAGTTAAATTTGGGTCTCAAATGATTGAAGATCATAGAGTAGAAAATATGTGGGTGGTTCCTGAGAAAGTGATTTAGAAGCAACAATTAATGTGTAGAGGAGGAATGTAAGAGTACATTAGTATCATGGCGCCCTTGAAAGGGCCAAATATTCTTCAGATGAACTTGTTATTATTTGATTTTTGGAGGATGTCTTTCAGATAGTTTTTATACTGAATATATATACTAGTAAATATACTATTAACATAGCTTTTAAATAATGCTGAATCTGATGTATGAATTATTTCCTAAAATTGTATTGTCAGTACCTTATCATTAGAATTTGAGCCGCGTCACGACAAAACCAACGTAATGCGTTTGCGACCAGCATGGATCCAGACCAGCCTGCGCATCCGCGCAGTCTGATCAGGATCCATATGCTATTCGCTATCAGTTTCTGTACTTGTAATAGGATTTGTAAGTGAACAGCATGGATCCTGATCAGACTGCGCGGATGCGCAGGCTGGTCTGGATCCATGCTGGTCGCAAACCCATTATGTTGTTTTTGTCATGACACGGCTTTAGTTTTTAAAAATTCCCCCATACTCATTCAATTTGGTATAAAGGAAGTAAATTATTCTTATATCATGTAAAACTTTTGTTTTGAAATGATGTGAAAAGTGATGCAATTATTTTAGTAGTTTTTGTGTACGCATGTTAACAAAAAGTTTTTGACAGAAAAAAGACTTTAGCTATTAATACTTACAAAGTGTTTTTTTTTATCTATTTTATAGGAATGATCATATGCTACAAAGGAACAAAGGACATTTTAAAGGGTAACCTTGGCTAGCAGAAGAACAGTTGCAAAACATGTAGATTTGTGTTTTTAATTGAAGGAACCTAGCTATATGCAAATTCACACTTGGATATGTGGAATGTATGATAAATTATTTTCTCCAACCTGTTTACATAAGCCACACCAGTTCTATACACTTTTTGTGATACTCTTTTATTTTAGTATCACAAAACAGTGAAATGAAGTATAAATGTAATACTTGTGGGTATTCCTGTCTTCGGAAAGATAGCCTGAACAGTCACATGGTTAAACACACTGGAGAGAAGAAATTTAGTTGTAGATTGTGTGGTTCTTCATTTTCAAAAAGTGACGGTCTTAAACAACATAGGACAGTGCACACTGGTGAGAAAAACTTCACATGTGACATATGTCATCATTCATTTTCGCAAAAAATTACTCTAAAGACACACATGACAATACACACTGGTGAGAAAAACTTTAGATGTGAAGTATGTGATTGTTCATTTGCGCACTATTCAGGCCTTAAATGTCATTTGACAATACACACTGGTGAGAAGAATTACAGATGTGACTTGTGCCCGCTGTCATTTTCGCGAAAAGATAGTCTTAAATCGCATATGAAAGTACACACTGGTAAGAAAAACTTTAAATGTGAAATATGTAATCATCCATTTGCACACTTGACTAGTCTTAAAAGGCATTTAACAATACACACTGGTGTGAAACTCTATAAATGTGAGATTTGTTGTCGTTCTTTTACCTGTAGTTATACTCTGAAAAGACATAGGACTTTACACAGCGGTGAGAAGAATTATAAATGTGAGATTTGTGATCGTGCATTTGCATGGAAACACAGTCTTAAAGGACATATGACTATACACACTGGTGAGAGGAATCATAAATGTGACATATGTGGTTTTTCATTTGCACTGTTTAGTAGACTTAAAGCACACATGGCAAAAGTACACTCTGGTAATGAAACTTACAAATGTGAAATATGTGACCATGTAACTTTTAAAAAAAATAATCTTATAAAGCATATGAAAAAGCACTATGGTAAGAAGATTTTTAACTGTGAAATATGTCATAATTCATTTGCATATAGAAGTTATCTTAAAAAACATATGGCAGTTCACACTGGTGAGAAGACTTTTAAGTGTGATACATGTGATAGGTCATTTGTAGACAAAGGTAACCTTATAAAACACATTAAAACACACACATAGAAAACGTACATTACTTACAGAAATGTACCTACATACACAAAGTCTGAATGAATTATAGTGTGTCTTGTGTTTTAGATTTTATTAAGGTTGTGTAAATTATACAAACGGACAATAGCCCTCCCGTTCAAAAATGACAAGGCGGACAAAAGCCCTCCCATGAAAATGACAGGGCGGACAAAAACCCTCCCGTAAAAATGACAGTGCGGACAAAAGCCCTCCCGTGAAAATGTTCTGGCCGACAAAAGCCCTCCCGTGAAATTAACAAGATGGACAAAAGCTCCCCGAATTAAATATACATGTATATGTATGTTCAATATCTGCTATTTTCCAATGCACTCAACATATTAAAATTGTTACATAAATATTTGTAGTTTTTTCAATTGGCCTAAGTTTGTGTATGAGCTAGAACCACCTTTCATTCGGAATATACTTTTCTGAAATGTTTAACGAGGTAACTTTTACACGAATGTCGTTATAAACAAAGTCACATTTTAATCGTAACAAGGCGCATTATAAATGTCTTGGGCTTACAATTTTAATCTGTTAAGTGCATTGAAGAGAAAAAAATCATTCAACGTACTTACGTTTTGCCACAGGAGGGCTTTTGTCCGCCCTATTATTTTTACGGGATAGCTTCTGTCCGCCGATGACTTTCATGAGAGGGCTTTTGTCCGCCCTGTCATTTTCATGAGAGGGCTTAATTTTTTGTCCGCTCTGTCATTTCCATCCGCCTTTTCATTTTGGACGAGAGGACGTTTGTCCGGAAAGGCTTTTGTCCTCAACTCATGCTTTGTGTAATAATATGTGTTTGTAAAAATAAAAGATATGCATGTACACATGTACTTGCTTTTGTGGTTTTATTTTCCTAGACAAGACGTTACTTTACTTGATAGCTGCATTCATCCAGATGAGCCAAAATGTTTCATTTTAGAAAATCAAACTTGATAGAAAAGGGTACTAATGTTTCGAGAAAAGTAAAAAGAGATTCAAGTATTGATTTACATCAAATGTGCGAATAATACTTACTTTCGTAGTGTTTATCACCAAAATTATTTCAACTGCGTATTTACTAAGGTAGTAAGGTTTTTTTCCCTCCTTATTTTGGCCTAATTTGTATTGTGAATTTGGATTGTAAGTGCCGTTTACAATGTGTAAATTATTTTATGTGGAGTTGGTCATGGTTAGTTTGTGGTTTTTTTTCGGGTAGGTTAAACGTCGCACCACAGTTCTGACAGTGACTTTTGAGCTTTTAAGGTGAAGAAGGAAAAAATCTAACCTGGCTGGATAACTTCCTCATATGAGAGTCATGATTGGTGAATGAGATCTATATATACATGTATAAGCATGTATATTAGATGGTCAAAGGTCAAGACCAGTGTGACCTTAAACAAAAAATTGTCCAACCAATTAATGCATGTAGATAACTCTGTGACCAACAGTCATTAAATTAAATTGCTACATGATAAGTTTGATGGGTCAGGCGATCTTGTTTCATATTTTGGCCTAGTTTTATATTGTGTACGTGAATTTTAAGTACCGTTAAGAATAAAGACAGATTGTTGTTGTTTATTACGTAAAAGTCATGGTGTATCCCCTTTTATGCTATGCATGTGTCAATTGTTTATATAGAGATGAATAAAGGATTTAAAATGATGAGTTATTTAATACGTGTACAATTTTATTTTTGCTGACTATTCCGACAATGTCAGGCTGCTTAAAGAAAAGCAAAGCTGAAATTGAAAAATAACTTACATATCAAAACTAATAAAAGGAAGAAAACTTACAGTATGTCACTTCTATTCATTCAAATTACCAATCACCATGCAAATATCGTCTCTTTAATTTTTTGTTTCATTTTTACAGTCTGAAAAATACATTCCTTCAACATGCAAAACTGCTCTTGATGACATTTGGGAATATTTAAGTATCCTACGAGCAATAACTGCCGTATGCTTTATGAAAACTTGAAAAGCAATGGCAGCTTTCACTCGAAGAATATGTAAACAACCCAGCGTTTGTGAGGCTTCCAAGTTTTCCAATTTCCTACCCACTTTTTTGAATGTTTACACCCATCTGTCTACACTTATTTATTGTCTGTTACAATCCTGAAATAAGTTTTCTTTCTTTTAAAAGGTGTATGACTAACAAATCCAAATGATATCCCTCTGAATCAAACACAATTATTTTCCTCCAGTGAAATACACAACTTTAAAATTGGCGGCCGTTTACATTTAACAAAGCCAGGTCTAAAATAAATTCGCAATCAGTAACAGAAATATGGATGGATGGTTGGACTTTTTTCTCCTACTAGAATTGTTTGTTTTAATATTAAAACAAGCGATCAGACATATTTTTTAATAAAATGAATACTATCACTACCTTTTAACATTTTTTGAGGCTCTCAATGGGGAAAACAGATTTTATTATTAACGTAAATATTAAGGAAATTTCGTTTTAACCTGTTTTTTTAAGCATAAAATAAAAAGAAAATTTGTTTGTTTGTTGTGTAAGATGTAATTTTATTTCATCTCGTACGTGAACTTTAAAAACAGTATTCTCACGAGTGGCGTAGCCACTCGTGAGAATACTGTTTTTAAAGCCCACTCGATGAAATAAAATTTCATCTTACACACAAACAAACAAATATCCTCTGTATGTTTTTTCTCTGTCTTGTTTTTGTGTATATATATATATATTTAGATTATTGAATACATACAAGTTCGACTTGCACCTTTCTCTTCCATAACTTTATAGTCGCTGTTGATGCCGTTGTGGTGGTTTCGGTACGAATCGATTACTAGTATGTATAAATCATATTTAGTTGAGACATGACGTTTGACTCAATTAAAGAAATATATCATATGTATGCAATTTTCACCTATATAATTTGACAACAAATATTTAAATTGATTGGATATGATTTGAATGCGATTAAAGTACGTACAGTTTAATTAACAATAAAAAAATGATTATAATTGTAAAAAAAATTGATGTCCAGACTGCAATATAAAAATGTCTTTTTGTATAAACATTATAGTAAATTGTTTGCAAACGTGTCATTAAAACGTTTTTTTTTTAATTTTCTTCATTTATAGTGCAAAATATATTAAATCTAAATCGGGATAGGTTTAAATCGTTCCATGGTGTCTCATATATTCTAAAGTTACACTTTAGTTTATAGAATAATTGATGCATAATATATATTATATAAAATATCTATTCTGGTCCGAAACGTTCAGAATAATTAATGGTCCGAAGTGTCTAACACATGATCCTTAATGTCCACCACATGGTCAGAAATGTCCAAAAATCTGGTTCGAAGTGTCTAACGCATGATGCAAAGTGTCCAATACATGGTCCGAAATGTCCAAAAATCTGGTCCGAAATGTCCCTAAATATGGTCCGAAGTGTCCCAAAATCTGGTCCGAAATGTCTGGTTCGAAACGTCCATCGTCCCCTTCTGTACGAATCGATTATGTATGAATCATATTTAGTTTAGACATGATTGACTCCCTTTGAAAAATTTGCACCATTTGTAACGATTTGTTAAATGTTTTCGGGAGAAAAGTTTTTTAGTCTTAAATATTGGCAAAGAGGTTTGTTATGCAGAATTGTTGTCTATTTTATTGTCTTTTGATAACATTTGTCTATGAAGTATTGTATTGCAGTTTTTTGAACCAATTTGTTTGATGTTTTGGGTCTATTGACCTTTCGAAAACCTAGCTATAAGCTAAACACCAATTTCCGATTCAATCTTCCGATTTAGCTCTGTGGAATAGCCGTCGATCTGAAGCTAAGACTGTTCTAAAAATAGATTTTACCCAATAACCACTGCGTCACCTGTGCTAATTTTCGGACAAGAGATTAGCGAGTAAACATTACACATGTAGTTAACCATCGAATATTTACTTTGTTTACACGCAATAATTTAAGAAATTTCATACAATTATAAGAAGAAAACAAGTTGGAAATGGAATTTAGTGCGAAAAGAAAAGGGACAACAAAACACTGTGCTTATGGAACGTGCAATAGTGACTCGAGATACCCAGACAGGCCAGGAATGGAAAATGTTTTTTTCATAAGATTTCCGCAAAATAAAAGGGAGTCTGAGAAGTGCATTCGCTGGGCAAATGCATGTAGCCGGAGAGATTTTGATGCAAGTCGTGTGAGGAAAGACACATATATTTGCAGTTTACATTTTGTTGGTGGAAATGGCCCCTCGGAAGACCACCCAGATCCGTTGCCTGCAAATGCAACTAAATATGATGTAAGTAAATTGATTCATTATGACATCATAATGCATGTGAAATTTGTTTCTCTATAATAGCAAGCAGATTGAATCATTGATCATTGTATTTATGAACCATAATCTATAAACATGAATTCATTTAGAATGTCACAATATTTAATGTGTGGTGTTAATTTAAATTAATTAATAATTGTCATTATTATTTTAGTAGTCAAGCAATTCCACTTTGTCTTTCCATTATCCATTTTTAACAATACGATAAACAAGTACAGTACATGAACATGTACATTATAATAATGTCATGAAAAAAATATAAACATTGAAGTTTTGTTTTTCAGATTGCTCGTATTTCAAAGACTCCTCGGAGGAAAATTTTACGAAATATACAAACTACTTCACAGAATACATGCATGAAGAGAAAATTAAACAAGGTGGACCATTTTGAAGCTGCAGAGATACTTTTATCTTTAAGTAATCAGGTTAGTGTGGTTTATATTTCACTTGAGAAGTTGAGTGTTGTTTGATTTTTCTGGTCCTTTGGGATCATTGATGCCAGCACTATTAAATGTCTAGAATTGAGTACTGCTCAAGCCGGTGCTAGGGGGCGTGAGGGATGTTGCACTTATTCAGTATCCCTCATGTACAGACTCAATCAAACCGAGTCTGCAATTCTCTTGTAATTTTGTTGTGATTAATGTTTCTGAGGGATCACTTTGTTTCCAGATTTTTATATTTCTATAGATAATAGAGCAGTGTATGTTGTGGAAACAATGTTATTATTATTCTAAGGTATAAATGTATATTATATTTTGTCCATGGTGACAGTGGTTACAGTAAAGAATATTCTTCCAGTATCTAAAATTAAGATTTACATCTAGATTTTCTATTGTAATTTCTGAATATGTGCTTGTGTAAGTTGCATAAATACAAAATATCATTTATCATATTTCTTTTTTAGATTATTATTAACATGAAAATTATTGTCTTATTCAGGAGGAAAAAGAGAACAAACATCAGGAGTTAGCACCTGTTAACAAACGGCATTGCGTTAATGGGATTCAAACAGCTGAAAGAAGTTCCGAGGTAATTTTCTGTTTAATTTATACTTTTTTAGTCATTATAAATTGAAAGATTTCTTTTTAAATTTTGTGTACTGGCAGAATTTAGAAAAGATTAGTCCGGCAACACACCAGTGAAAATATGGAAATATGTTTTACTTCAGTGAAAATACGGAAATCGAAAATATGCATTTTATTTCATCAATATTTCTCAATAATTCATATATATAAATAAGTAAATAATAAAAGAAAATATTCGTGACTGTAAATTCTGTGAAATTCTTAATTACTTATTATCATTATTATTATTTTTATTTTTAGTGTGCTGTGCAATATAATAATCAAGCTTTTTTGTAAATGATACATGCAAATAGTGGCTTAAATGACAACAATTCTCTAATGACAACGATTTTCTTTTCAGGCAGAAAATATCTTGTTTACTGCAAGCAAAATGCAAGAGGCGTGCACTCAGACAACACCTGTAGCTTCAGCAGAAATTTCATTAAAAATACAAAACAAGATATTAGAAAATGAAAACAGAATTCTGAAGGTTCAGTTAGAATCTATGGATTGTAGGAAAACAACAGTGAACAAAAATTTGTTTGATGAGTCGCAACCCCTCTCTGATAAAGGTAGCCATGGTAACAATGATAAAAACAGTAGATTTTTCTCCACGTATGACATTGAAAATGATGACAAAAAATGTAAATTTTTCACCGGTCTAACATGGCTAAGATTTATTCAATTGTTCAACTTTTTGTCACCAGCTGTTAATCATATACAGTATTGGAACAGAACAGCACAAGCTGAATTTTGTGTAAAACCAAAAGATGCTCTTTTGTTGTCTTTAATGCGACTTCGAGGAGGTTTTACTCAAAAAGACTTGGCATATAGATTTGGAGTTGGGGAGTCTACTGTTTCCAAAGTTGTGTTGACCTGGATACAGTTTATCTATAGACAGTTTATCCCTCTAAAGCAACTTATGTTTTGTGAAAGGAGTAATATACAGGAAAATGTTCCATTCTGCTTTAAAAAGTACAAAAACATCAGATGTGTAATAGACTGTACTGAATTTTTTTGTCAACGGCCAGGAAATTTTCATCGACAAGGCAATTTATACTCCAGCTACAAATCACATACAACATACAAGGTTCTTGTTGCTGTTGCGCCAAATGGAGCAATTGTTTTTACAAGCGATGTATTTGAGGGTTCGATCTCCGATCGTGACATTGTAGTTGAAAGTGGTTTTTTGGACTTCTTAAATCCCGGAGACACTGTAATGGCGGATAGGGGCTTTAACATTAAAGATTTGTTAAATGAACGAAAGGTGGATTTAATTATTCCTCCTTTTCTAGCAGGAAGAAAGTCGTTCTCTCCCCAGGAAGAGGCATTGACAAAAGACATTGCTAAACATCGTATCCATGTAGAGCGTGCAATAGAACGTATTAAAAAGTTTAAATTGCTTCAAAAAGTTATACCGCTGTCATTACAGCCTGTTCTTACACAAATTGTTTTTGTTGTAGGTTGTTTAGTGAACTTTCAGGAACCAATAGTGAAGTGATAATTTTAACAAGTGTGACAGATATTATTAAGCTATTATTGAGTTATAACATTACACAAATGTTGAAATTGTAGATGTATGCTCCAAAGCAATACTCTTTAAAAGGGTCTGGATAATTTTTAGATCTGTATCATGAATCAGTAGAAATAATTCTAAGCAAAATTCAAAGACAAACATTATGTTTCTTACTGTTTTAATCACATGTACAATATAGTTGCCAATGGTAAATACATATGTGAGAAACAATTAAGAAGTTATTTAGATATTTTCAACTTATATAGTTAATTTACAGTTTCATACAAATGAAAATTTTATGATGTCAAACGTAAAGTGTACAAGTATTAATATGCAAAAATGTTATAACATCACATATATAACATAAATATGAAGTTTGATTGAAATCTGCTTCTTGGGATTTTCCATACAAACATGAATTGTTTTACTAATCAGAGACTGTGTTATGTAATAATATTGTTTATAAATGACAATAAAAATTATCCTTAATTCATGTTTCTTGTGTCAGTTACTGTCTACAGATACTTTGGTAGCAGTCTACGTGGTATTCTCATTTCAAAATACTCTGGTGCCAGCCAATGCGAATGAAATTGTATCATTTTTTCCTTTAGGTTTGACCAAAATTCTGGATTAAATTGCACTCGAACTACAAGGAAGTTGTCTTCGCCTCCCCATATAAACAAATCACACCAATTTCTTTCTAAAATGCCTAACTGAGCTTGTATTTGATAATAATATGCATGATTGTCTTTAAGAGCATTTTTACCATCCTGATTATAGATGCAGAAATTTTTCAACTGAGACTTCGAGAGTACAGTTTCATAATTCTGCACTAACTTATTTTGCAAAATAGCTGGACATTTGATTTCAAGGAGTCCATCTGCATATTCATTGTTACAGTGATTGATTAGCCCATCTGGACTGGCACCTAATTGCGGGAAATTCGGATTAACCCAAAACCCAGTTTTTTTAACACAAATTTCTGAATTAGATTCTGACGCATATCTTACATAGTTATCAAAAGCATTTCCTTCATTTTCCACACCATAACACATAGACTTTGTCTGACTTCCCTGTCCCCATAGCTTAATCTTTAGAATATTGTAAACTACACTTTCAGATTTTGCACAACTTATTCGTTTACTTTCTGAAGCTGTTACCCTAATGCGTCTTTCTGAGAACCACTCTTCTGATCCTTGTTTTGAAATGTGTTCACTTAAACGGTCTACATTTAAACTGTCAATCATTGCTGCCACATTCTCTTTGAGGTTTTGCTCTTCATTTAAGTTGAGGGCATAGTCTTCATATTCTCTAAATAAAACTGTTTCCCACATGCATTTGCTTTCATTTCCACTTTCAATGTGACCTAGGAAATCACTGAGTGTTTGAAGAGGGCTTCTTTGTGGAAAAAGTGGTGTTGGATCAAAGTCAATTATACTGTCTACCTTTTTTTTCTTCAAACTAGGGTATTCTGCCTTGAAAATATTTTGGGGATTGCGCTTTTTCTTTCTGCCTGTGTTCCACCCACACTGTTTTGAAGTGCATGACAATGGCTCACAACCAAACTTATCAATGTAGTCATTGAGAGCATACAGAAGACCAGTTACATGTGCACAACGACCCATCGCACTTGCTGGACAAGTGCATGAAGCATCTTTAACAAATCCGCTCACTTTGCTGATTTGCACAAGAACAGAATAGTCTGTGTCAATAGTGTAAGAGGCCATGACTTTTGCTTTAATAAAATAACTATCACCTTTAATACAATCTTGCATTGCTTGCACATGTCCACTTCTGAAATACTCCAGCCCCTTTTTCAGTGGCTTAGAAGTATGTAGATCCTCAATATCATTCTCACAATTTTCAGTTCCTGTGGATTCTATTTGTCCAATGAATTGCACTGACTCCACAATGTGGTGGTGTATGTGTCCTTGATTAAAGTGTTTTGGCAGCAACACTGACGGGAAAATGTTCCATCCAGTAATAGGGGGAATACTCCCATTCACTTGACTTGGATTTTCTTGTTTCAGTTTCTCCAATTTTATATCGTACCATTTCCCACCATCTACATTTAAAGATATGTCACCATCTCTTCTAGCCTCTATACACATCTTTACCCTGTAAATAAAAAATATCATTAGAGAAATACAACATTATTTGCCGATTATTTTAAGCGTGAGACATATCCCAGGGACATAAAATACGAATGACTTCAATCTATTTTATTGTCTACTGTATACAAGTATGTTAAATAAACATGCATGCAGTATAAAGTAAATTAAATCATTAAGCAGCTATTTGAAGTAGAATGTCACTTGAAATCATACATAAATAATCTTCACCATTTCAAATTTTGATAGATGTACAAATAACTGAAGTGAAACAAAAAATTTCCCAATCGCTGGCATTTTTATAAAACAGACATGCAGTGAAAGTATTGACTCGAAAGTAATTACCTTTTCACTAGATCATCTTTGTTTCCAGATGTTTTTAAATCCCTACAATATAACCATCGTCGCAGTTGAACATTAGAATGTTTTTCAATCATGCTGTACGCAAATTTAGCTCCAGGAACATCATTTTCATTGAGAGAAACGTGAATAAAAGTATTCGTGGCCATTATCTTGTATAATCTACATGTAGAATAAACCAGATTCCTTGTCCGAAACTTATCGATGTGTGGCTATTTTTAGAACAGGTCTCTTATCAGTGACGTATACGATGCTGATCTCAGATCGTTCCCTATTACACCCAATGAAGTTCATATCCCTATCATGTGATATTTCCATTTTTCTATCATTATTTTACCGTTTATCATATTTATGGTGGAAAAATTTGATGTGTATGAAAATTATTATTGTTCCTGTTCTAGGCTATCTATCGCAAATTTTCCAAAAAATATGTAGAATTAAGGTGATTCCGCTTTGTCAGCCATGTTTGTATTCACTAAAGTCTGTCCAAAGTTAAAGTAGGCCAAACTTCATATCACAACAAAGCTCACATTGTTATGTGATGAACCATTTGCAAGTACACTTCCAGTTCTATGTTTTAAAGGCTATTTTAAACAAAAATATAAATGATAACAATAAGAAAATTTACCTTGAATGGGCTAAATTTCTGAAGACCAAAAACATCCTTTTGCAAAGTTTAATGCGCATTTCGTGAATGGCAAAATCCTTTTTAAAGTCTGTTTTAGTGCCTACAAAAGCTATTTTTTGCAGCAAAAACAAAAATCTTTCAAAACTTAACTCCAAATAAATCTTTATCTCATGTCCTTCTCCATTTTTTTTGTAAAAAAGTAGTGCAAGAAAACAATCATCATTTATAGCCTTATAAACTACAATTAAAATGAAAACACAATCAAACTTAAAAATCTAATCTTTTTATGTGAAACAGTGAAGTGGTAAATGATGTTTATTTTCATGGTACTACTTTTTTAACACATGTCATGGTAGCCATGTTTTATCAAGGTCAGATAAACTTCTTTCCTAAGATTTATGTTTTTTAAAGTTTTTTGTACTTTTAGACTTTGTGAAAACAAACATGGCTGACAAAGCGGAATCACCTTAAAACAGTCGTTGTTGCATCTGCCATAATAGATATTTTCTGCAGAAACTGTAGAATTCAGGGGTCAATAAGGTTCTGAGGAGATTGAAACATTCGTTTTACTCAAAATTGTTGATATTGTACTTCTTTTATTTTTGGCACATGACCACCATATTTTTAGGTAACAACATTACGTTACAAAACACTAAATCAATTATAAATTATAATAAAAAATAAAAATAAAATAATCAAAAAGTTTCTGTTATGTATTATAATTTATAATACCTAACAGAAACTTTTTGATTATTTTATTTTTTTTGTATTGAATTATTCATATAGTGATATTTAATTATTTTCTTACAAAGAAATAATTGTTTTATTACACTTTAGTTAAATACAAAAAAAATCCAAAAACATACAGATTGTTACTATATGCCCTTTAGGTGGATTCCCAAGAGTAGTACATGTACATTTATTAGCTCATTTTTTTTTTTTAAGTAGAGGTTTTGCTATAGTCGCGGCGGCGTTGCCGTTGCCGTCCGCAAACTTGTACCTTGATCATAACTTTTTTTATTTCTTGGTGTATTGCCTTCATACTTGGCCACAACAACCCTTGGGACAAAACCTTTCAGTAGGCCACACCAACCTTGACCTTCATCTATAAATGACCTTGACCTTCAAGTTAAAAAGTCCAAATTTTGCTTGTTCATGCTGTTATTGGCTGTAACTTTGTTATTTTTGAATGGATTGTCTTCAAACTTGAACATCATAATCTTCAAGGATATCCCTCAGACCTTGACCTTCATTCATAAATGACCTTGACTTTGAAGGTCAAATTATAGAAATTTTAATTTTTTGGCTATTTTTGGCTGTAACTTTGTTATTTTTGAATGGATTGTCTTGAAACTTGAACATAATAATCGTCAAGGATAACCCTTATAAATAACCAGACAGACCTTGACCTTCACTCATAAATGACCTTGACCTTTTCATTGATTTTGCTGTAACTTGCTTTTACTTTGCTATTATTGAAGGGATCAACTTCATATTATAACAGAACATACTTAAGGACAAGACCTTGTCACCACCATATGTTCCAAGCACGTGACACCACCAGCACATGACTTCACCACGTGACTTCACCACGTGACTTCACCACGTGACTCCACCACCATGTAACGCCACCACGTGACACCACCACGTGACTCCACCAACCACGTGACACCACCACGTGACTCCACCACGTGACTTCATCATGTGACTCCACCGCGTGGCTTCATCACTTGACTCCACCAACCACGTGACTCCACCATGTGACACACCCACTTGACTCCACCACGTGACACCACCACATGACTCCACCACCTGACTTCATCACGTGACTCCACCAAGTGACACCATGTGCATCTATTTTTAGAATTTTCTATTTATAGAATTGCGTGTTTCTATTTATAGAATTGCGTGATTCTATTTTTATATATATATATATATATATATATATATAATAGTATATTTATATATACAAAATATATAGACAAAACTAATGTGACGAAATAGACCGATTAATTTCATAAAAAGGAAACGTTAAGATTTTGTTCAAACATTCCTTTGTTTGCTTTTAGAGAAAGTAAAAAGTCGAGCATTGCCCCCGCCCGGCGGTGGCTTTTGTTATGAATGATATAAAAGATAACTCTTTATTTGACTTATAAGAATCACCATCATTTGGTAAGGATTGTTACTATTTATTATTACACAAAAAATACAAATGTATGAGATTTTTTGTGAAAACACACTATTTAAGCTTCATGGTGCATTAGTAATCATCTCATGAGAAAGATTAAATTTGTATTAAAACATCTATTACAATGCAGATTTATATCAGTTAATTATGACTGCTACTTATAGCCATGTTTGTTGTTTTAATATTGATGTATGGATGATAAGAAGGCAGAGTTTCTCATGCAAACAGAAATTGAACTACCAATTTAGCCACAATGAGGTTTCAGATTTTATGCTTTGGTTGTGTTGACACCAAAATAAGGCCACATTTAAAAAAGTCTTTGTTTGCTGTCTCCCGACCCTCCTTTTTAGAGTTGGGTAGGTAGGTAGGGATTTTTTTTTTTTTTTTTTTTTGGAAATACATAAATGTTTTTTTGGTTTGATTCTGTCTGTTGGAAAAAACGATTTGATATATTTTGCATGTGAATAAACATTTTAAAATTGATATATCTTACTTTTTATTTAAGTTTGTAGATCTTCCAATTAGTCAATACAAGAAGTATAGTTCTTTTTAATAAAAATACATGTAACAAAAGCAAATTTCGAACATTTACCCAACATGTGAGAGGATGACTAAAACACTCAAATATACGTGGATGACTGGAACACTCAAATATATTATGCAAAATAACTACTGAACAACAAAAGACATCATTATACATCAACAATTTAAAGCTCTAGAGTTGATATGAAAACTAATTTATTAATAAATGTTTCTTTCTTTTTTAAACAGTGACAACCACTTGGTACTGGCAGAAAGCAACAACAAAAACACTGTTAAGCAGAGGTACAGATACAATATGTGTGTGTGAAGAAATATGTTGTGATTTGTAGAAGCATGTGCGAAACCAGTCTTGTAAGAAAACTATTGCTTTGGAACATGTGATCATTTATTTTCCTTCGTAATTTTCTTATTGTACTGAAACATCATTTTTACAAACCAGTGACTTTAAGTTTGGTTTGTGAATATTCCTGTATTGGAAAATGCGAACTCACAGTTATGAAGATATTATTTTATCAATCATTGTAGAAAATTAGTAACCTCAAAATACACTTGTCAATACTATGTGTCAGTGTGTTTTAAATCATTTTCTTGTAGATTAAATCTTTAAGTATATATAACAATGTTGACTACTGATGAAAATTTCAGATGCAAAATATGTGATTCCTTACTTGCGGATAGCAGTAGTCTTAAAACACATTTGACAATTCACACTGGTAAAAGGAATTATGAAAATGCAATATGCTACCGTTCATTTTCGCAAAGCAGGCATCCTAAAACACAAAGAACAATACACATTGATGATATGAATCATGAATGTGAAATATGTGTACACAAATGTCATCTTAAAAATCACATGAAAAAATACACTGGTGAAAAGAATTATGAATGTGAAATGTGTGAATATTCCACTTTGCACAGAAGTAGTCTTAAAATGCACATAAGAGTACATACTGGTGAGAAGAATTATAAATGTGAACTTTGTCACCGTTCATTTTCACAAAGTGGTTATCTTAAAACACATATGACAATACACACTGGTGAGAGAAATTATCAATGTGAAATATGTCACCGTTCATTTTCTCATAGCAGTAATCTTAAAAAACATATGACAATACAGACTGGTGAGAAGAATCATGAATATAAAATATGCCAGTGTTCATTTTCTCAGAGGGATTCTCTTCAACAACATATGACAATACACACTGGTGAGAAGAATCATGAATGTGAAATATGCCATCGTTTATTTTCTCAGAGGGCTTCTCTTAAACAACATATGACAATACACACTGGTGAGAAGAATCATAAATGTGAAATATGCCATAATTCATTTTCTCGAAGTGGAGATCTTAAAAAACATATGACAATACACACTGGTGAAAAGAATCATGAATGTGAAATCTGTCATAAATCATTTTCTCGGAGCAGTAATCTTAAAAAACATATGACTATACACACTGACGTTAAGGATAGATCTTTTAAGGGTCGTCAAAGCCGATATAGGCATATGAATATCCATACTAATAAAATTATATATAAATGCAAATATTGCATCTTCAAGTGCTCCAACAGTTGTGAGATAAAACAACATACGAGAAGGCACAAAAAAGAGAAACTTTATAAATGTGATAAATCATTTTTAAAGAAAAAAGATCTTGAATCGCACGTTGAGATGCACATTTAAGTAGACAAAAATATATGCAAACCGTTTTAGCACTATATCTATCATGCATATCGTATGAAATGCTATTAACTCTGGTATACTGCTGAGACCGGAAGACATAATGACACAGCAAAAAAAAGAAGGAAAAAAACAGGTTACACAAATTATGTTCAGTACTAAAAACTGTTGAATTTGAATTTAACATTCTTCTGTTTTGTGTTAGGTTTGAAGATTTACCATATAGATAATTAGGGGCGATTTCTTGCATACAAATGTAAATATTACTTTATATACTGTGTATACTTTTTTTAACCTCTCTTATTGTGTCACAATTTCCTCGTCTTTCCATTTGTATTAGTTAATAGTATGACTTGTTTTTGTGTTTGTTTGATTGGGTTTTACGTCACACCAACAAAGTATATAGGTCATATCGCGACGTTCCAGCTTCACTGATTAAGGCATAGGAACTCTGGAACAGGACCACATATTGCGGTGCATAAATCCGAATCCTTACCGGCTTTACATATTGTTTGTCCGACCTTTGAATATATTTTCATATTATGCGAGCGGGTGGTCTTTAATTATCTAATGTCAATTTAATATAATCTGCTAATTTAAAAATCAGTCAATTTTACGGTATATTGAAAAAAGAAAAGGAGTGACATCCGCCATTTACCGCAACATTCGGCGTAAGTTATCCCCCTTGATATGCTTGATTTTTGTTTTAATTTTTCTATTACTCTCTTTATGTCACTCAATACATGGAAAACTTTCACATTTTCTAGTAACGAATACCAGATGAGTGCCTAAAATGTTTATCTATGGATCATGTTTTAATATTCATTTTTTCAGTTAGGCAAAATCAGTTGGACCATATTACTGAAGTGTCTGTTTTCTCCATGTTTACAAATCAAAACACGAATACGCCCGTTATAATGCCGCCTATACATGTCAACACGTGTAATCAATAAACCGTGAACGTTATATCCGGCTGATACCTGATAGTTGACAAAAATAACGGGAACAAAATTCTGAAAAATAGTAATCAATTGTAGCCAAAGGGGAAAAACTCATGCCGAAAACGTTGCGGCGAATGGCGGATGGCACTCCTTGTCTTTTTTATAATACCGTAAAAATTGACCAGTTTTAAAAGAGACGAATTGGATTCAATTGATAATATATTTTTGAGGCCATATACTCGGATAATACTTTAAGATATTTAGATGTAGCAGAAACGTTTTTAAAAACCGTTACACGATCGAAAATATGCGCCGCAATCTGCGGTCCCGGTCTCGAGTTCCTATGTGATTAAGGAAGACCTCAGGTGCCCTTCCGTGCATTATTTCAGGCGCGAACGGGCACCTGAGTCGAACCACCGACGTTCCGTAAGGTAGCTTGATAGCTTCCTCACATTAAAGTATCCAAAGTCCCTGTTGGGATTCGAACCCACAGCGGTGAGGGGCAAGTGGTTTGAAGTTAACGACTTTAACCACGGAAGTATAATTTGTAAACCAAAGATGAGTACCTATACAGTGTGGTTTGTATACTAAAGATAGTACCTATTCAATTATCTGTTTTTAGCTCGACTTTTCTATGAAAAGGGGAGCTATCCTACTCGCCCCGGCGTCGGCGTCGGCGTCGGCGTTGGCGTCACACCTTGGTTAAGTTTTTCGTACCACCCCACTTTATTTCAGAAGTATTACAAGTATGGCTTTGAAACTTACCATACTTGTTCACCATCATAACCTCCATCTACAGACAAGAGTACATAACTCTGTCAAGGTTTTTGACAGAATTATTGCCCTTTTTTGACTTAGAAAGTGTATTGAGCTTGGTTAAGTTTTTTGTACCACCTCACTTTATTTCAAAACCATTGGAGGTATTGCTTTGAAACTGACCATACTTGTTTACCATCACGACCTTCATCAACAGACAAGAGGACATAACTCTGTCAAGGTTTTTGACAGAATTATGCCCCTTTTTGACTTAGAAAATACATTGAATATGGGTAAAATCCACTTATTGCCTTAACCCTTTGAGATATTGCTTTGAAACTTTTAATGCTATTTCACATCATTACCCCCATCTGTACGCAAGATTATTATTATGCTGATTGTACAAAAATATACTGCTTCCTTGGCATAGATTTCTTGAAAAATTATGTTATTATGTCATTTACCAAGGTGTTCTGAGTGACGTAAAAATACCTTATTCTCTCAAAGTGGGTTTAATACTATTAAATTTATTTAAGGCTCAACTCAGTTTTTTTTTCTTTCTTACCAGCCCTCTTTTGACTTAAACATTTCAAACTTTGCTGCAGTGTTCAAGGGTATCACACAATTCAGTAAAATAATTCTTCACTAAATATCTTAATGCTCATGGCCATTGTTCACTTTAAAAATACAGAGATTCTTGTATTGCCTTTTACTGCAAAAACTTTTTTTATTGGCAAGCAATAAAAAAGTCGAGCGCGCTGTCTTACGGACAGCTCTTGTTCCACATCTATTCATATGAACACCATGGACAGTAACTGTATCTATAATTGTATTTATCATGGTTAACACATGTTCAAAATATGTAATATTCATTATCATGCATTTACTGGGGTCCAAAATATGTAATTTTTATAATCATGGTTTTACTTGTCTCCAAAATATAAATCTTTATTCTCACGGTTTACTCTTGTCCTAAATATGTAATTAATTGTTTTTATCATGGTTTTACTAGAATTCAAAATATGTAATTGTTGTTATCATGCTTTTCTCATGTTTTAAATATGCATTATTTTGTCTTACGCTGCGCTAATACTACATGTATTGAGGATGAACATTGTATGTAAATTAATGTGTTAAAGCCAAAAAAACATTGAGTTGATTATATAAGTTGTATATGTGTGTTATTTACACATAAAGATAATTATATAAACAACATATTAGTATCCATGTCTGTGAAATAACCCTTGAATTTTTCACTATAACTGTAAAGTTTAAAAATAAATGTATTATCATGTTCTGATAATAATATTTATATAATTTAAAGAGTGTATTAATTCCTTCTATTCAAAATTAGATAATAGTAGAATTCATACCTAAGACATCCCTGGATTTTTAAGACCACCCCTCTATTAAGACCATTTTTAAAGAACTGAATTTTCTGTTCTTTATTTAAATGGTAACA